GGTAAACCCCTTTTCTCATCTCACTGCAGTGCAAGGGATGAGGTCATATTGTACCTGTCGGATTGCTAGCTGACAGCTGGATTCTCTGGTCCTGCTTAGCCCACGGCAGCACCGAGCCGCACTCCTCCCGCTCATCCAGAGCACTAGGATTCATTAGCCTGCATTTATCAGCTCTTGCTAGGGAAATAGCGAATAATGAGGCCTGGTTCAGGTAATGAAATGATCTCCCTCTCACATCTGATTACACTGCTGCTTATTATTTCCTTGGTGTGTAATTTTGCTTCCCTGGAAACTTGTTTTCCAAACACTAATGACTGCAGTTATGGCCTAAAGCTGAACCTGCCCAGCAGCACTGCAGGAGCCTGGTGAGTTCTTTGTGGTACCATCATTAGCTAATGGATGGATGGAGACAGCCCCTGCCCCTTTGCTGGAAGTTACAAGGAACACCACCAGGAAAGGTGCAGCCCTTGGCATCCATTATGAGCAGCTTATCTCCTTCAGGTATCAATGCTGTGACTCTGCCAAGCTAACTGCCCTTCTTCTCTGGCATTGAGTTTCTCGGAGAGATATCTACTATGATTCCTCTTCATTTGTAGTTTGCTGGCCAAGAAAAAGACATATTGCTCTCATTTCTTCCTTAATTCCCTTTCTTCTTCAGTACCTTTCCTGAGTAACCAGAGTAGTGCAGGCTATTCCAGATGCCTTATATGGGAATACTGAATTTTCTCTCTACTGGAATGACTTTCTTGGTACATCTTAGAATTCCATCTGCTTTTTCCATGGCAACCTGCATTTGGTAGCCTGGAGTCATCCTGAGCGAAGGAAATGTGGCCAGAAATGAGCTTTTGGACCCTTCCCACCCAAACCAGCCCATGATTGTCAAGACAGGAGGCACCTGGTTCTGTTATGGACTCCCGTGGTGTGCACTGCTGGGACAAACTGGCCCCGTAGTAGTGCCTCTCCTTGTGTTGCCCAGGGTACATTTGATTGCATACATATGCAGACAGTCACTAAAAGGGGAAATCTGACCACATAGTGCAGGGGCTGCAAACCATCCCAGGAGGCTTATTAGCCTGATTGATGGTACATGGCTTCTCCCCAGGAGCTGAGCAGAGTGTAAGCCATCCTTATATGAAAACAAGTGTGGGGAAAAGACATTTCTGCAGAGAATCGTTCAGTCTTTTCAAATTAGGTTTCTTTTTTAACCTAAACTGTTGACTAATGGGCTGAAAAATTCCTAAATGTGCCTGGTTTTTGCAGACAATGCCATTTTTCTCAGGAAAGAAAATCATTAAGTGACAAGTGAATGAGTGTGTCCTTGTCAGAGTGGTTCTCAGGCTCAGCTGGGGAAACAGATGTGGAAACGGTTTAAATTGAATGGTTTTCCAAGCTCTGAGTCAAAATGTAAATTGTCGGGATTTGTTTTCCTTTCAGGGCTTTGCACATCTTTGCTCTATGCTCCAATTGTGCATTACTGCAGAAGTCAGCGGCCTGGTAGCTTATCAATGCACTCATTTCCCAAGCTGTATTTCATCCCGACAGCCTGAACACCTTGGAGGAATTCCCTGGGAGCTTTGTTGCTTGCATCTGGCTGCTCCTCCGTGGTGAAGCTGGACTTGGGCAGCCAGCCTGCACTTCAGCCCATTGGTAGGCATGTGATGGGTCACCCTGTGTTGGAGGAGAGATGCCATTTCATTGCCTCTCTAGGATCATCCCAAACTCTGGGAAAGGTCCTATGGGGCTTTACCAAAGCAATGACTTAGTTTTGTTTTGCTGCCATGAGCTTTGTCCTTCTGACACAGCTGCTGTAAACCCTGCCCTTTCTATCCAGGGCAAGTCAGACCCATCCCAAGTCCCCCTTTAGTCTTTGCTTGCAGAGATTTGCAGCTCCAGATGCAGCTCAAGCTCCACTGAATTTGGCTCCTATGAAGACAATATATAACTGCATTCCCAACAAATATTCTACTGCATCTTAGCTAAAAACCTGGAGTCAAAGGAATGAAGCAAGTGTGGTTTATGGGTCCTCTTGGCTACAGCAGTGTTGCAGTGGCCCTTGTTTGTAGGCATTTCCATTACCACCAGGAGAGGTAGGAGTGGGCTGTGCAGGAGATGTAAAGAGATGTGCAGGAACCTTGGGCTTCTGGAGCAGTAAAGTCTTTCAATCCTGTGGCTGTTGGGAGCAGTACAGGAAGAGCTGATGATGTGTCCGAGGTGACAGAAGGGGTGTGAAGATGCTGCGGAGGCGGGATGCAGCCCTGTGAGGTTTTGTGTTTTCCATCCTTAGTGTTGGTACCAGTGTGCAGCAAGTGTTACAGCTGCGTGCTGCTCTCAGACAGCAAACAGAGAGGTCAGAGTCTGCACCACCACCCCCACAGCCACAGGGACCATCCTCAGCTCTCTCTGAGCTAGGCTGCTCCTTCGTAACTCCAAGTCCTTCAGATCTGCGTTCCCCCCTTGCAGCGAGGGTCAGAGGAAGCCTGGGGATGTCTGTACCGCCCAGTCTGTGTGAGTTGCTCTCTGTGCTGTCCAGGGCCTGCTGAGGAGCTGGGGTCCTGCTCTCCTCCTGTGGGAGGAGGGTAAGATGGTGCTTCAAGCCTCGATTTCTGCATCTCTGAACAAGTTGTTGCTGCCTATGAGCTTAATGGTTATGAAATCACAGATGCATTCTGCTAATGAGTTGCTGGTGGGTATCAAGCGATGGCTGGTGAGGGGGTGAATGGATTTTTTGGTTTTGTATGGTTTTGTAACCTGGGCCAAGAGGGATATGCATGTACTGGGCTAGGCAGAAAACACCTCTAAGGAGGACTAAGGCCATCAGGTTGCACACAAGGTTACCCTGGTCCAAGAGTATTCTGCATCTCTCTGCTGTTCAGGAAGGGATTCAAGATGCTCTGGGCCAGAGAGAGATCCACAGTATTCAAGGGAAAGATTGAACTCCCAATGCAACGATGTATACAGCTTTTTATTAGCTTTCATGTGCTGCAATAAAACTCACCCCAGCACTAAGCATTCATAGTGCTGAGAAGCATCTAAAATTCAGGAACAAGTTACTGCCTCTGTGGTTTCAGGAGGACTTCTGTGTCTTTGCACTTCTAAATGCTGGCATAATAAATCCTGAAGTGCTTTCTTTCCTCATGCAGATGTGAATAATACAGCTGTCAGCTGGTGTGTCTTCTATAAGAAACGATTGGCAGCCCTGAGGTGGATAAGGGCTGGAGGCCTGAAAATCCCTTTAAATCCAGAAGCAGACACAACGTAAAGACAGTCATTTTTACAATAAGCATTTTGGAGAGTGCCTGTTAAAGTGCAAGTGCTGGAGCCCCTGTGGGGTTGGGTGCCTTCAAGAGCAATGTGAGCATTGCAGCAGCTTGCCCCATCCATCGCTCCCCAGCCCCTCCTGCCCACCCTGCCCACCATGTATTTCCTCTGTGGGTTCCTGATCTGGAAATGGATCTACTTTGCTTTACCAAATGGCAAGGGAATTAAGCTAAACACATTAAGTCATGTCTGGATGCATTGCGGAGCTTCCATGAATGAGGAAAACCTGTGTTTGTCATTCCTGGGAGTTTCTTCTTTCCCCAGTATCAATAACTCCATGTTCTCAGAAAATACGAAACATCTCCATGAACGGTAGAGTTTTAGCTTCGGGTCAGGAGCCTGGTACCTGGAGCTGCATCTGCGTCACATCCTTCATCCTCTCAGCCATTAAAGAATATCCTTGCCAACATCCCAAGCTCTGTTCCCTTGCAGTTCTCCCCTTGCTCTCAGACACGCTTTGATTCTCTGCAATGTTGCATTTGATAGTATAACTAAACAGTTCTGAATATTTCCCTTTTGGCAACTGTGTCTTCCCTTTCAAGTGGAACTCATTTCCCTGTTGTAAATCAGCTTTAGAGCCTTGTATGTCTGAGGAGAGGCTCCAACCAAAGCCAGTATTCTGCATTTCCATTTCTTGACCCAGCGGGTAGAATTGTGTGCAAAATGCAGGAGAAATGTCACAGAGATAAAACAGCATTGGGCTGGGTTCATCCTCAGCTTAGAGCAGCTGATGTTATGGAAAACATCCGGACTTTGTGGAGATTGAATTCAAAGAGGGTAAATACCTTATGGGTACAGCTACATTTCAGTGATGATTTTACTGACTACTGCAGCATCACCTGAGGGGTTTGATACACTTTCTTAGTTTCAAACCTGAAATATAGCTGAAACACGTTTCTTTGCTGGGAAAGTCTGCAGTCTGGGTGCGGGATGAACTTCCCAAGTGTACTGACAGCAAACTTGGGCTTTAGTTTCCTTCCACCAAACCACGTTTATTGAGGTCGGGAGAACGCCTCTGCTCTTCAGACATCCCGTTTAACACTGATGTGCTGAGAGAGCTGGGCTGGGGCAGCCTGGAGAAGAGAAGGCTCCTGAAGGGGAGACCTGAGAGCAGCTCCAGTGCCTGAAGGGGCTGCAGGAAACCTGGAGAGGGGCTTGGGACAAGGGATGGAGGGACAGGCCAAGGGGAATGGCTTGAACCTGCCAGAGGGGAGACTGAGATGAGCTCTTAGGCAGAAGCTCTTCCCTGGGAGGGTGCTGAGGCGCTGGCACAGGGTGCCCAGAGAAGCTGTGGCTGCCCCATCCCTGGCAGTGTTCAAGGGCAGGTTGGACACAGGGGCTTGGAGCAAGCTGCTCCAGTGGAAGGTGTCCCTGCCCGTGGCAGGGGTTGGAGCTGGAGGAGCTTTAAGGTCCCTTCCACCGCAGCCAGGCTGTGGTTCTGTGATGTGGTTCTGTGAACTCCGCAGTGTAACCGGTTCTGATAACAGCAGGAAGCGCTGGAAATGCGCCGAGGGGCTGAGGCACCGCGGAGCTCAGCCCTGCCCGCTCGCTCCGCAGGCGCCGCCCGGTCCCGCCGAGGGCAGCTCAGCCTCGTCACGGTGACGCGGCCTGACAGGAAGGGGAAGTTGGGCGGCCATAACTGCCGGCAGCGGCCTGTGCCGTGCTGCGGCCGCCGGGCTGCGTGCTCCGGGCCCGAGGGCAGGCGCTGGGCCGCAGGGGGGATGCTGCGGGTGCTGGGGGGGATGCTGGGGCGCAGCCGCGGGCTGTGGCGGGGGGCTCGGCCCGGCCTGCACCCCAGCAGAGCCGGCGGCGGCAGAGCCAAGGGCGCTGAGGACGGGGCCCTGCAGACGGCTGAGCCAGGTGGGTGGGGAGGGCTCGGGCGCTGTGTCCCGCTGCAGCGCGGGGTGAGAGGGCCTGGTGCTGCCGTGGGGCTGGTGCTGCCGTGAGCCTGGTGCTGCCGTGAGCCTGGTGCTGCCGTGAGCCTGGTGCTGCCGTGGGGCTGGTGCTGCCGTGGGGCTGGTGCTGCCGTGCGGGTCAGGAACGCTCCCGAGCCGTGGAGCAGGGCGGGAGCTCTGAGCAGCGCAGTGCACAGGGTGGGCTGTGTGCTCGATCCTCCTCCTACGGCGCCAAATACAAGCGGCACTTCCATCTTTTACTGTTGTGCGTATCTCTAATACGGAGCTGCTGCGAGGGCTGGAGCAGCTCTGCTCTGGAGCCAGGCTGGGAGAGCTGGGCTGGGGCAGCCTGGAGAAGAGAAGGCTCCTGAAGGGGAGACCTGAGAGCAGCTCCAGTGCCTGAAGGGGCTGCAGGAAACATGGAGAGGGGCTTGGGACAAGGGATGGAGGGACAGGCCAAGGGGAATGGCTTTAACCTGCCCGAGGGGAGACTGAGATGAGCTCTTAGGCAGAAGCTCTTCCCTGGGAGGGTGCTGAGGCGCTGGCACAGGGTGCCCAGAGAAGCTGTGGCTGCCCCATCCCTGGCAGTGTTCAAGGCCACCGCTGGCTGCAGGCCCAGTTCAGCCCCTTGCTGATGTTCCAGATGCAGCTCTCAGCCTCACAGGCATCCTCTGGAAGGGAAGCACAAGAAGCAGGAAAGTAAATGTACCTGGGGTCTGGGTGCCAGGATTTACCCCCAGGGTTTCTCAGCCCTTCACAAGCCCTGGCACGCACGAGCAGGCCAGGGGCTAAGGAGCCTAATGTAATTTCACGAGCACTGTCAGGAAGAGATGCTCCCTCTGCTCTGTTCTGTAGCAGCAGAGATTTCCTTTCAGCCCAGCACCAACAGCAGCCAGGGAGTGCAGGGCACTGAGGCTGGGGCCATCATTATGTCCCTGCACGTCCTGGTCTCCCGTGGGGCATTTCTAACCACCAGTCCCACACTTGCAAGCACAGGGCAGTGTAACCAGGCACCCTGGTTGCACCAGCCTGGGTGTGTGAGCGGTCCCAGGTCCCCAGGTCCCCTGTGATGGCCACTGCACAGGGGTGCAATGCAATAGCCAGGATTTGAGCTAGCCATTGCTGTTTTTTCAGCGTCACCCTACCACTGCCCTTGTCGTGGCCTGTCATTGGGTTTGCTTCCACCAAGAGGAGCCAGAGTCCCTTTCTCATTCCGCTCTCGGTGACAGCATGCTAATGGCATCACCGTAGTAGTCTGGTGGGATGTAATGTATCATCATTAGAGTACAGTAATGTGGTACCCAGCTTGCATGAGAGCTACTGCCAGCCTCCCACCAGGCTGTGCTTTAACAGACCTCATCTCTCCATCAGTGCTTACAGGAGGAGATGCTGTCGAGGAGTTGTTAATGCTGCTGACAGGTTGCTTAACTCACTAGTTGGGCCATTTAAAAGCAAGATGCTTGCAGGTTAAGAGCAATGCTGCGGGCTTGGGTGGCTTCAGCCCCGCATCCTTTCCCCCTTCATCAGGAAGGTTAGAAGACAGTTCTAGTTTAAAACCTACCTAAACAACAACAAATAAAGCACAAAATTAAATAAGCTGCAAGTGTAAGAAAGCCTCTCCCCCCAGCTGCTGGCTCCTTCTGACACAAGAAAGCACATTTGGCTCTCACGGAATAGAGAAGTGTTGTTTTGAACTCGCACTCCTTTCCTGCTGAATGACAGCTTTTTTTCTCCTCCCTTTAAGCTCAGCTCATTGTTTTCTCCTATAAAATGTCCTGCAGGTTACAAGACTTTCCAACACGACAGAAGGCCTACGAACTTTGATAAAAAGGTGTTAGTGTGGGCAGGACGCTTTAAAAGGGAGGAGGACATCCCCAAGCACATATCGTAAGTAGACCTGTCTGAATGATGCTTTTGGATGTGGATGTACAGGTTGAGCTCCCAGTCAGCATTACCCGCAGTGGTGCTCATGTGAGGGGGTTCGCCCTCCTCCGTGCTGATGGGCTCTGCTGCTGCTGAACCTGAATTGTTGGGGAGCATAAACTTTTTGTCATGCCCTGTGAAGGAAACTGTATTGGATACAATACATTTCAGACTAAGCTGGAGCATCTTTTGCAAGACAAGTGGCTTTATATCTAATATGCAGTTTGTTGAGCAGGATTCGTTATTCCTGTTGTTACTGATGACTGTTGGGAGTAGCAGTACCCTGCCTGTGTGGGAGGGTGACTAAATCTTTCCCCTATAAGCTAATTTTTTTGAGGAGTCCTCTGAGAACTTGCAGAAAGAGGAGGCTGAAACACATTGTACATTAATAAGCACTTGCTGGAAGACTTGAGGATTCATTACTCAGCTCCCCATGGTCTCATGTCACACATGCTGCTGCAGGATGGAAACTCTGCTCTGTCCTCCACAGGTCTGAGCTCCTCGAAGCAGCAAGGAGCAACGTCAGGATAAAGGTGTGCTACATCATGATTGCACTGACTGTGCTGGGCTGTTTGGCCATGGTCATCACAGGCAAAGAAGTGAGTGTTGTTTCTTGGTGAACCAACCCACTTAATGTATGGTCTACGTGTGCTCTCTTTGTAAATAAGTATGTGGGAAGCACAGCTGGTTAATGTGCTGGTTAATGTGTTCCTTCTGACCCGCTTTGCCATGAACCTGTGCAGAACAGTGCTCTCTATCATGGTATCTCACCAAGAGGCTGGTCCAAAGGTTGTGGAGTACATTATACAGTGTCAATAGTGCCTGGTCTTGCCCTGCATCTGGGGAGCAGGAGGCTTCCTTGGTCCTGCCTGCCTAGCCTGTGCCACTACAGCCACCAACAGCTGTGGCATTCAATTCTTCCCATCCCAGTGGTGGGCAGTGAGGGTCTGGTGCCTGATTTGTATGCCCCAGTGTACCTGTAAATAGTTATAAGCGTGATTTTCCTGAGAATCAGAGCTGCAAATGGTGAAAAATTGGTAAACCAAGCAAATACATCAACTTCTGTCACTGCAACATACCAAAAGGGTCAGTGGGGTATGAAAGCCACTGGTGCAAATGTGGGGAAACTCAGCGGTGGGGAATGTGTGTGTTCAATGATTTTCATCATTTCCTTTCAAGGCTGCTAAAAAGGATCAAACTCTGGTGCGGATGAACATAGAAAAGAAAGCCAAATGGAGAGCTGAGGTGGAGAAAGAGCAGGAGGCAGCTGTTGGGAAGGCACAATGATTGGCAACAGATTTAATTTGGCAGCAGAAGATAAGTGGTTTGCACACATGGCATATGTACCTGTCTTCATTTAACCCTTCTGAGCCTTTTCACCGAAACTCTTTCAGGGCAAAGACTTGCTCAAAACCTGCTCCATAGCAACTGGGAAACTCCGATGGAAACCCCAGGAGCTGCTTTCTGTGGCCTCTGGTCATTGGCACTGAGTTCAGCCAAAGCACAGACATCTCTTCTAAAGTAGGAAGTGTGGAAAGGACGAATGCAGGACTCCTCAGCTTGGGGTCAGCTTTTTGTGGTACCACTGATGCTCAGCATGGCCTTGGTTCTGTCACCTCACAGCCAGGAAGGATGCAGCCCTACATTGGAGAGCATCCCATTCTCTGCAGTGCCTATAGGGCAGACAGCCTTGGCCAAAAGAGACTGAGGACATGGGGAAGAAGAGTCTGCAATGTTTTCAAAGCACCAACAGGTCCATCACCTCTGCCTCTGAGCCTGCTGCCATCACTATCCTTTCTCCCTTCCCAGCCCTTTGTGGGATTCCGTGGCTGAGGGACCCCATGCCTGGTACGTGAGCCTGGCCTGGAGGCACCCTTTGTCCTTTGAACGTCACTGGTTTTGCTTTATCATCTTCTGCTTCCAGTTGTTGCCATGAAAGTTACCTAGCGCTTGTTTTGTTGTGACTTTAGTTAGGAGTAATTGTTAATACGTGGTTTACTAAAACTGGTTCTTTTTAATCTTCATAGTTCATAAATTCATAATAAAACAGCTGTCCAATTACACCTGAAACAAAGACGTCTCTTCACAGCTTCTTTTAAAGTGTCACCAAACTCTCTGGGATGGTGTTTAACAGATGGGAGATGCTAATGAAGTATTGAAAGTTACATTTTCATTAAGTGATTAAACTTCAAGACAGGCTTTAGTTCATGCTTCTGGGTGCTGACAGTCTGAGCCCCCCTGTAATGCCTCAAGACCTGTAAGACAGGGTGGTGGAGCTGGGTGTGCTGCATGGGACATGGCATGACAGAACCCAGCCATCTCACCCCAGTTGCCATAGGAGATGGCCAGTGCTGTATCCAGCCTCAGCCTTTCTGCAGCATCCTGAGCATCATGCCAGGGCTTGGCCTTTGCAGGGTTTATTACTCAGAGAAATTGCACTTGTGCTTCTGGGGGCTCTGGAAGCTCCTGCTCAGGTTTCTGAGGTTTATTGTGTTAAAAATCAGGTCCACTTACTGCTGCTGTGTCATGACATGAACAAGCTGCTGGCAAGGACAGGATGGGGCATCAGCAGGTGGTCAGCAGCTCTTGGGCTCTGAGTCTCCCTCTCCTGTGATCACTGGGCAGCTTTGTCCCCTCCTGTGCTTCTTAGGAGCACTTTCTCCACGTTGCACCCCCGTTTAGGATGAGGAGCATGTGAGGGGGAACGTTACCTCTGTCACAGCTCAGTGTGTCCAGTCCTTGTTTCCAACTCACAGCCCCATGCAGTACAATTCACCAAAAGTCACGTCTGCTCCCTGTAGTATTGTTCACAAAGCACAACTCAGGGAAGTGAAAATAATGGTCTAAGACAAGTGCAGAGTGAACAAGTCTCTGCTGGGAAGGCACTTCTGGCTGCACAGGTAATGTGGGCGTTTTCATTTTACATGACCTGGTTTTCTTGGTTAGTGCAATAAACCTCAAGAACTACCTCAAAGTTAGTGTTCATTTGGGGACAAGGTGGACCAGCTCTGGCCAGCCTCTTAGATTTATATGTAGTTTTTTCATTCTTAAAGGGCCCAAGCAGCCTGGTCCAGTGGAAGGTGTCACTGCCCATGGCAGGGGCTTGGAACTGGATGAGCTTTAAGGTCCCTTCCAACCTAAACCAGTCTTTTATTGTATGATTCTATGGCTTTCATGTGCCTTTTCTAAGAAGGCAAATATAACAGTTAAATGAACCCATTTCACAAATCCACATCCATGTTCTGAGCTTCCCTGAGTTAGAGCAGGGAAGGAGATGACCATAACCCTATTTAAAGAACAAGCAAATCAACTGTGACTTGTTCCACTCTTTGCTGTGCACTTCCCTCTGCCTGGGAAAAGACAAAAAGCCTGCTTCAGGTGTGAGCTGTTCTCCAGCCTTCTCTAACAGTCTGGGGCTCTGTTGACTCAAGCAAAAAGCTGCTGCGTTACACACTGTCATTAAGGAAAAGTGAATTCCTCAGAAATCCTCCTCTGGGAGCCACTGGTGATGGGCCACTTCTGAGCAATCAGATGACCGAGTGGTTTTGGGCTCTCACAAAGAGCTCTGACTGTTACGGAGGGAATAATTCTGTACCAGTCCTGGCTGCATCATTACTCATTTGAATATCATAACATCCCTCAGAAAGTCAATCAGGCTAATCACTGCCTTGCACTCGGGCAGTGGCAGGTGGCTGCTGGTGTAGCACAGCCTTGGTTGGAGCTGTACCCTGTTGTACTGGAGGCACCAGCACAGGACATTGCACTGCTGATGGCCTCTCCAGTGCTGGGACTTACCACTGCTTGTTAAAATCAGCTTCCATCTGGGTTTGCAAAGTCCTTTAACCCTTCTCTTGAAAAGCTTCTAATTATCAGGGCTTCCTGAGTGTATAATTGCTAATCCTCACCACCCCCTGTTGTGTTGTTTGCTTTAATTTCCCCTCCCATCTATACTACTACAGTGTCACACCTGACCCACAGGTCATTTAAAAAAGGGGCTGGGGGTTGTTATTAGGTAGGAGTGACTCTTTCCTTTTTAACAACGTGCTCTACATTTTCTCAGCTTGCTCCTGAGCACTATGAGGGGGGTTGGCCCCTTCCTGAGGCAGGGAATGGTGCTGGGGAGTGTGCTGTTTTGCTGTGATGCTTAGAGAAACCAAGGGTGAGTCCTTTCAGCTCATATCTCATTTACTACTCTGTACCAGGAGGAAAGAATGCTTCTTCCCCTGCAGGATTTTTGCCATTTTAATGAACTTATATGTGCTGGTGGCTGGTGCCATAGAGATTTGCATTATAATAACAGTTATTAAGGAAGATTTTCCCTGGTAGCTGGAGTTGATCTAATTCTGTTTCCATTAAAGTCAGTGCTGCAGTTCCTCCTGGCTGTGGATTAAGGTTATCATCCACCACTTCTTGAAGTTCCAGGGATTTTCAGAGATTTGGCTGCCCTAGGGAGCCAGGCTGCTGTGGGGCAGAGCTGCGTGTACTGAGCTTGCCAACGCGGTAAGATCAAGCTCCTGTGGAAAGCTCTGCACTGTGAGCATCCCAGTGCCTCCAAGGACATGTGTGACATTGGAAAGCCTGAGCTCAGGAGATCTCAGTCCCTTCCTTACTCGTTTTACCTCTGGTTGTGACCTGCTCAGGGGGTTTCTAGTGGTTGATTTCTTTCCATCTATTGACTATGTGCAGCACTTCTGAGATGCAGCGAGGCTGATGTGATCCTGCACTTGCAAAGGGCTTTTTCCCTGGATGCAGGTGACATCTTGCCAAAAGAAAGGTCTCTTTTTAAAGACTGCTCTGTTCTTTCAGTGTTTAATCTCTCACCAAGCTGGGAGACTGCTGCTTGTTTTGAGGCTGAAAGCACCCAGTTTCATCACCCAGGCATTGGATGTTGTCTTCAGTCTGGGGTATAAAATATCTCATCTCGGCTTTTTCCTGTGTGTAAGTAGTCACCCCTCAGCTCTTGTTGGCAGTCAAATTCCTACTATGTTTAAACACTTGTAGTTCATAACCATTGCTTCGTGGGTATCACTGCTGCTGGCCAGTTAAGTGATTGACACTATCATGAATTTATTCTTGTATCAAGCGATTTACTACATTAGTAACCTCTTTGTAAGAAATCCCAATTGATTTTTTTGTTTGCTTTAGGATAGAATCAATAATCTGGTACCTTTGCAGAAGGAAAGGATGTAAAAGCTTTCCAGACTTCACTGCCTACCCTGGGAAATTCAACAGCACAGTGGTTAAGCATCAGAAACTTGCTCTCCTCTCTCTGAACCCTGTGGGGAGCAGCATGGCCAGCCAGCCACAGATCTGCTTTTGCTCCTGGGATTGCCAAGGGACAGTTCAAAGGAACTTCAAGGTTAAAGGTCTCCTCTGGGTGAGATGCAGTTATGGTCTGGATCGCCAAAGGGACCTGCTCCCTTTTACCACAAAGATCTTTCCAGCTTGGAGCAGCCTTGTGCTTTCTCATATGCTCAAGAGCATCACATTGAGTAAGTGCTGGTGGCTGCTGGGCCGCAGGTACCTGGGGTCCTTGTGCTCATCATCCTTTCAGAGAGGGCTTAAGCATCCCTCTCCTACGTGGGTTGGGACAGTCATTCTAGCCTAGCAGCAAAGCAAGGCCAGTGTTCAGTAATGTGAATTAATTAATGGGTTACATTAATGCAGTGAGGTAGCATTAAAGCAATTTTCCATGGTTAAATAGTCTGATGATTGTTAGTGCTGTATGATTTAATGTAGAACCTCTGTGACAGTGATAGTGACGCTGTCCTGTCACAGTGACAGTTCGGGAGCAGGTAGCCCCTGAAGGGCTCTGAAAGGACCTGACCATTTAATTTCTTTGCTCTATAAAGGATCCCAACACAAACCCCAACACTACATTACACTCATGTGGTGTGCTCTGCATGGTGCCGTCACCATGCATTGCTGGCTCCCCTGTAGCTATCATCTTAACATAAGCATTGTCCTGCAACAGATTTTTAACAGCAGGGCTATAATCTTTACCAAGGACATCCATTAGGGCTGTAAAGATGTCATTAGAGCAATCCTGCGCCAGGGGGGATGGAACAATATCCAGAATGGTTTCAGACTGCACTAAGGGGCTGGAGCAAACCTTGAAAGACAGTCAAATATCACAGCGTTTCAGTGCTCCGAGCCCCATGAGAGAGCAATTTCACTTGGCAAACAAAGCTTAATGCAAAGCAAAAACACAACCATTACATGTTGCTGTCTGCCTTTGTTTCCTTTCCCCTCTCCTGAGAGCCCTTGTGCAGGCGGCCCCGGGGATGCTGAGTGGGGCACCTACTGCAGTGGCAGGAGCCCAAGGAAGGGGCTGTGGAGTGACTCCCTTAGGGGCAGTCCTGGTTGTCCCGGGAAGAACGAGGACAGAGTGCTCAGCAGAGCCGCTTGAGCATGAATATTTGATTTGCTTCAAGTAGCCAGAGAGGAACTAATAATGATTAAAAGACAAATTCCTGGCGGGAGTGTGCCTGCGCCGGAGCTCGAGTCACCCACCTCCACATCCGCACACATCCCCTTCCCGCGCACGGAGCTATGCACCAGCCTTCAAATTAGCTGCAATACCCCGCGGGTTTTTTGCTTTACACATATATTTGCATAAAGGGAAGTAAAATCTCTGCAGCCTACCTTTATCTCCAAAGTAGGCTTCCCTTGAGACACAGTGCAAGAGCGTGGCTGTCTCGTCTGGGGGAGGAGTGATGCAAATTCTGCTTTCCGCCCTGTGGAAAGAACCTGGAAGTTTTGCACAGAGAAGAGGCAGCCAAGAATCTGCTTGAACTACTGCTGGGGGGGTCAATCCCTGCCTTCAGCAGCTCCCGAAGCACACCACAAAGCAGTCAGTGCCACGTTGTCCCTTTCAGAGGTGGGGAAGCCTGCATCCCCGGGAGCAGGGCTGCCCTGAGAGAGGGCAAGAACAAGTGTGGGCTGGCAGAGGCATCACCCCTTTATGGCCTTCTTTTGCTTTTAGAGCTGAGCACTTTGGATGACAGAGATTTAAGGGCTGAGGTTTGGGGTGCTGGAAAGGAATCCTCATCACCCAGGGG